CCTCCTCTCACCTCAATCAAACAGAAAAAAGTAGAACAGAAAACACGCGCACACGCACACTCATGCAAGTACAGAGAAAGAAAGAGAGAACCTTTTGCAACTGCTTAAATCCTTGTTCAACTGATGCTGCAACATTCTGAACGTTATAGTCAATCCGGTCTATGATGGTTCCCTGCTCATTGAAGCAATTCAGATTTGATTAAAAAAGACTACTACAAACTGCGTGCTCATGTTAAAAAGCTCTGGATTGTACCTGATCTATTACAAGGATAGAGAGGTCCTTCATGATTTGAGCAAGGTCGTTTACTGATTCTACAACCTAAAGAAAAATTTCCAGCCAAATGATGAGGCCGACTGTAGTAAACTTAGTGAATGACCAAAAGATTGCAAACCAAGCATAATGGCCTTGTTTTTTCAACATAAAAATTAATGATGAATCTCCTACCTGTGCAATCTCTTTTTCCCTCTCTCTCGTGAATGCCTCACTTTTTTTCAGCTGAGACATCTGATGATCATTAAAACCCTGTAGGGAAGTAAATATAATACACCTCAGTAAGTATAACTATAAATGAATATTCAACAATCGAGTGAAAACTACGGAAAATTCCTGGGACATTGGAAATCAAAAGTCACAAGATTTATCCACTAGACTCATTCGCTAGCATCCAACCATAATAGGGACGGAAAAAGGTTATCCACACATGAAGTTCCTGAAATAAAATTTTGAAGACAACTGGAAATTTTCTTCACATAAGTGAAGTTGAGCATGGGGACTATAAGCAAAAAGAGTAATTGTAAACATCCACTGTTGGATTCGTGAGCTATAGCCCTCTATTTCGTTAGTCTTAACAACTACGATGGTATTGACAAACACCAGAAGTTCTCTATTTCATTATAGTTCTCTAATTTCTCTGGGTGTTTTTCAATTAAACTACAGCAACTAGCTTCAACCTGATGGTAACCGAATATTTATTTGTACCAGGTACAATATTGCACTTCCTTTGCACTGATTTTAAGCTGCCAAGTCCAAGTTGGAAGCATCAAACACAAATACTACAACAGAGGCTATATCCTAGTTAACCTCCAAAAGAGTGATTACTGAGAAAATACCCAAAGAAATTAGTATTATGAAACCCCTGAGAGTTTGGCCACTTCCTATGAAACCCCTGAGCATTATTCTTTAATTACAAAAACCTCCACCATTTAAAAAACTGTTAACTTTCTTTTAATTAGCATGTGCAAATCAAATGCACTTTTATATGCCAAAATTGCCCTCATTCTCTTCCTCTTAACATAATTCCCTCATGCCATTTTAAGTTCCCTTTCTCTTATTGAATTTTATAAGCATACGTTTGGATATGATCACAGTTCCGATTTCAGAGATGAGCTCAAGTATGATCTTCTACTAATTTTCTCTTCATCAACAATCATT